AAAGGGATAAATTGGCACCAGGCTGGAGGAGAAAAGCGCCAAGTCCTGCTGCACATCACTGCCCAGGCCATGACTCAGCCCTGGCACTGCCACCCTGGGTGGGGAGCATGTGAGGTCTCATTGGGGAATAAACAACAAAGCCAGGCTGGACGGGTCTGCCTGTGGGAGATGCTCGGAGCAACCCTCTGGTGGCACTGGCACAGTACTGCCAGCAGCGCTTCTTCCACATGGGACATCCCTCATTCAGGTGGGACATCCCTCATTTCAGGTGAGACATCCCTCATTTGGGTGGGRCACTCCTCATTTGGGTGGGAYACCCCTCATTTGGGTGGGACACCCCTCCTTGTAAATCCCTGAGTACACCAGGGATACAGCAATGGGTACCAGCAGGGTACCAAGGCTACTCCCTTCACCACAAGGAAATGCCATTTTTCGGCAAGTGAAGGTCTTGGCAGGCTTATTTTGGGTCAGCCCCAGACTGAATTTGGGTTCAATAAAATCTTCTCAATCAGGGGGTGCAGGCYGAGTACCCTGAGCTGCACAATACAATCCTCGTCACCCACAACATTCCCTCACCTCCAGGAGCCCAGGCTGAGCCTGGCCCAGGTAAAATGCTGCGTTGTCTCTCTAATTATTTCCTCCTTTCAGGTTTTGTTTTATCTGTTGATGGGAAAATGAGCACTTTTGTGTTTGGAAAGTTTTGTACCTCTGTGGAGGCAGCAGAAATCCCACCAGATGTGCTGACCTCTTGTGTTTTGGTTTAGGTTAAAACAAGCCTGCTCCTTCTGGTGTTGCTGGAAATCAYCAGGATTACTTCAGTACAATTTCACCATTCAGTCCTCTTGTTTCCCTCAGTTTTAGCAGGGAYAGATTATTTCTCCTGGCAGGTAAAATTCCACCCAAGGCTGTCACTCCCCAAAGGAAGCCAGAGGTGCGAAGTTACAAAATGGCAATTTCCTTTCTTATTTCCAATGCTTTTGGGAAGGAGTAGGACAACAAAACCACTACTTAAGGCAGGAATTTGGGGCTGTTTTCCTTCATACTCCCACTTATGGCAAGGGCTCAGACCCCAAAATCCACCCCTCAGASACCAGAGACATCAACCTGCACCTCAGGAAATTTGGTTTTCCCTAACCTGTTTCTCAAGTGCTGAAAWGGTCTGAAACCACTCCTTTGGAAGAAAACAACATTGTTACAGATGAAAACTTCATGTGAGAGGGTTCCAAAGCAGCAAGTATCAAGGCAGGTACTCTTAAAGGCTGTGGTGACCGTGGGGACAAGGGGAAGGGGAGCCGCAGTCATGGTGGACCCATCCACTAAGGAAGCACAACCAGAAATTTCAAACCTTCTCCTACTGAGCACCATGAAAACGGAGAAAAATTAAATTTAAATGTGATCAAACTGAAAATGGAGCTGTGGTTGTGATTTCAAACCAGTGGGAAAGTGCAGTTCCAACCCGGGGTGCACCTTTGTGCTTACACAGAGAGAGGAAGGTTTCAACAAGCACTGCAGAGCACAGGGAGGAGGAGCAGGACGGAGCCACCCTTTGGCTTCTTCTACAGCCCAGTCCAAGGAGGTAAAGCAAGAGCTCTGTAAAATGCTGCAGATTTTAGAAGTGTAATGGCAGGTAGAAAAGGACACTGGTCTCGTGTCAGTGGCAGCCCCAGTGTTAGGAGACAGTCTAGGCTTCTAGGAGGAGAAAATAGAAGAGAGGAGAAGAAGGAGGAGAGGGAAAGGGGATGGGGAAGGGGGCAAGAAAGCGCAAGTTATTAGTAAACATCACCATCGAGGCAGCACTGCACAACAAGCAACACTTCATTCGTGCAGCCAGGAGATTTGCCAGAAGCCAGGTTACAGACACACACACACTGCAGCTCTGCTCTCACCAGTGTCCGAAAATCTGTCACCAGGCAGGCTTAGAGCCAYGTGCCTGTGACAGGCACAGGAGAGCAGCACCTCAGGATGCTGCTCACAAGCACAATTTGCACAGAAATCAAGTATTTCTGTCACCCAAGCATGAGGGACAGAATTCYCAGCAGGCTGGCTGGAGGGAGAGCCCAGCTAGGGGAAGTATGAACATCCAGAGGGGGGGACACTTCCCTTCTCACCTGCCAGCCAGAATGTGAACAGCATCCTGGGCAAGAGGCATCCAGATCAAACCATGTGATCATCTTTGATGGATTGCTTTGCAGAAATTTGGTTGGACTTTATTTTTAAGTATGTAATTCCTTGGAACTCTAGGCAAATATCCTGCAATGAGGAGTTGCAAATTGAAAATTACACGTGTATTGTTTCTTTTAAACCTGCTGGTGCTTGCACTAAGCCCTCCCTGACCTTTTCCTGGTGCAGCTGAGCAGGAAGCTGCCTCCCTCAGCATCTCCCCCCATCAGCAATCACAGCCCATCCCTGTTCCCTTGCTAGCCGTGCATCCCCGAGAACGCTGCTGCAGYCGCTCCATTTATCCTTATAAGGAAGAACAGGATTAACTCAGCCTTCCAGGGGATGTGCTGAGCACCCACAGCCAGAGCTCCCACTCCGAGGCTCTCAAATTCCCCAAAACAAACCCACAGGGCCAGGCAGCACCGCTCACGTCGGGCTCAGCGCTGCCAAGAACGGAGCCCTTGCAGGAGCTGCCCGTGTCTCCCTGCCCAAAATCCTGGACTAAACACAACCCCATAGCAGTGCTCAAAACACAGCTCTGCCAGAATAAAAATAATTCAGCACTTGATGGAGGGTTTGCCCCCGAGCTGGAGGAGGTTTGGGTCCCTGCCATGTGCTGCATTAAGGGTGTTTGGAAGCGGGCATGGCTGCCAAGGAGAGCGARGACTTCGGTGCTGCCTCGTCCAGAGCTCTGCAGACACGCCCTACATGGCTGCAGATAATGTTGCATGTAATAAAACAAGATCAAGTCATCACCTTGTTTCATCTGATGAGTGAAGAAAACCATCCGGCAGCGCTTCCTGTGCTCCAGCCCGGAGAGATCCACATTCAGATTTGCAAATGGCTGAACTACCCCTCCTTCCTTGGAGTCTGTTTCAGAGGCAACTTAAACCCAACTCTGCTTTTTAAAGCTCTCTCGTCTAACACTGTTTTTTGTAGCAAAAAGCTGAGCATCACCTTCCTCAGTCCCCTCCCGCCTGCTCCATTTCTCTGCACTGGGCTCACACTGCACATCCCTAAGAACCATTTCAGCTTTCAGACACGGGGAATGGATCCTGCTGCAAACAAATCAGACAAACCTGGATGTGGTTCAGAGCCAGGGATCCAGGCTTTAGGCAGCACCACCCATGAAAAGTGGAACCAGGCACTGCTCAAGGCCATACCCTGGCCAGGTGCTCCCACAGACCCCTCCAGTGCCGGATGGAAATGCTGCATCYCTCCCTCCTCTCCCACGGAGAACCGGGAATATTGCAAGTATTCCACAAAGAAGGGGGTAGGGGAAAGAGGCCATGAAGGAATTGTGTCACATAAATCTTCTGTTATTCTGGCAAACCTAATTAACTTGATGGCCACAACTCCTCATCCTGACACGCTGCTCTGCCACTTTGATGTCGCTTTTAGACAGATTTGAACAAGAGAAAAAAATCCAACTCTACCCCAMAAAGAGGGAACATATTAATAAATTAAAAAGCTCCAGACACATAAAAGTATCTTTGATCAAAGTTGTTAACATTTAGTGTGAAGAGTTAAACCTCCACAAAGCAAGAGTGAAGCAAATAATAAAGAATTTTTTAAACACAAGTCAGAAGTTCAATACAAAAATCCTGATGCCTTTAATTATTCAGACCATAAATCTGATTTTGTTTCTATCTCTTTTAGTTATAATTATTAAAAAAGAGGGAGGAAATATCCTTAGGAAAGTTCAGAAGTGTTCTTAATTTCATTTTATACTAAATTATAAAAGATGCACCACTGCCTTTCTACTGGATTTCCAACAACAAATGAAGTATAAAGATCAATTTTTCTATTCCCATCCTCACTAAGGACATGAAACTCACTCRCACTCTAAATCAAACTCTGAAATCCTACACAGAATTATAGCAAAGAGGTGCTTAAATTCATCCCCATCTTCCAAATRTTTGTTATTTCCTGAATTGCCTTTCTCCTATGGATCAGGAGGGATGATAATGCTGGGAGCATCCAGACAATCTGAGCAATGGTCTGGAGCTGGAGATCATCCCAMGGGAGAGCAAATGAACCATTCTCACCCATGCCAGGGTGACAACTGGCTCTGGAATAGTTCATCCTCAAGAAAAGAGAGGTCCCACAGTCCAAGTGCTCATGACAGAAGGGGACAGACGGGTTGGAATTTGGTAGGAACCCCCATTCCCAGTCAGCAAGCCTCAAGGGAAGGGTAAGGAAGGGAAGCAGTGTTTACATTAACTGTGACTAAGAGAAGACCAACCTCACACTTGATTGGAAAGATCAATTTTTTTCCAGGTTCTGCACAAGTMTGAACTATTGATCCAGTTACATCACAAGCTTCTGGCTGTCAGAACTATGCTGATGTTATGGAAAAAGGTTCCAAAGGTTCGGTGTCACCTGTGCCACTGCTGGAGGAGGTGTGGGGACATGGCCATGGAAGGGGAGGGCGGGAAGGAAGGACACAGCGGGGTCATGGCAGTGACTAAAATCTGCTCCAAGGGATGGGGAGTGTGGGAAAACACCACTGTGGGTCTGAGGGAACGGGGGAAGGCACAGGACAGGGGACAGTTCACCTGTGGATGTCATGACTCCCTGCCAAGCCATTTTTATCAGCTGCCTTCCTAGAGCTGACCATGGGTAAAGAACAGGACATCTTGAGAACAAGCTTTGATCCAAAGATCACTTCAACACCAAAGAAAATAAAGCTCTACTGTGTTGCCAATTCTTTGAAAAGCTGATTAAATCCCAACCCGAGCCCTGGGAGACCTCCAAAGCAGCAGCATTTGGYCCCGGTGCAGCTCTGCTGCCCAGCAATCCCCAGGAAGGGCTGTGCTCCCTGGACACGCAGGACGTACCTGTGCGATGATCCTGCAGCCCGTGGTCACCGTTCTCTACCACCATCGGCCCAGCAGCTGARCAATCTGCAAGAAAGCACAGCAAGGTTAAACCACGTGGAATTCATCTTAATCATGGAATCACAGAATCACTGAGGCTGGAAAAGAGCTCCAAGATCAAGTCYAGCCTGTGACTGATCCCTACCTTGTCACCCAGGTGATGATCCCAAAACTAACAAAAGAAACGGTCGATTTCAGCCTTGAGAGCACACTCAGAGAATCCCAGGATCACTGAGGCTGGAAAAGCTCTCCCAGTCCATCCAGTTCCAGCTGTGCCCAGTCCCCACCTTGTCCCCAGCCAAGAGCTGTGAGTGCCACATCCAGGCCTTCCTTGGACACCTCCAGGGATGGGCACTCCAAACCTCCCTGGGCAGCCCCTGCCAAGGCCTGATCACCCTTTCCATGGGGAAATTCCTGCTGAAACACAACCCACTGCTAAAAAAGGGACCAGGAGAGATTTAGAGGAGGAGGTCAGGGTAGAAGATCACCAATTCCAAAAAACAGCACAGAAAATCCTTACCACAAAGAGGTTTAGTCCATCTTGTTCTGGCATCGTCAGAYAAAATTTTAGCCAGCACCACGATTACACACTGAATTTGGAAAACCTGGCAGCAGTGGACAAGGGGAACAGTTTGAAGCTGAAGGAGGGTCCATTTAGATTAGATAAACGGAAGAAGATTTTTACAATGAGGGTGGGCAGGCCCTGGCACAGGGTGCCCAGAGAAGCTGTGGCTGCCCCTGGATCCCTGGAGGTGTCCAAGGCCAGGCTGGACACTGGGGCTTGGAGCACCCTGGGATAGTGGGAGGTGTCCCTGCCATGGAAAGGGTGGCAGTGGGTGGCCTTTAAGGTTCTTCCAGCCCTAACCATCCTCATATTCTGTGACTTTATGACCCCAAGCAGTTTTAGTGAAGCAGAACGAGCAGCACCAGCTCCGAGAGCAGCTCCTCCCGGGCCCTCAGTTCTGCTGATGGTAAGGAAATGCTCGTTTTATAAATAATAAAAGTCTCTCCCGAAGAGACACACACTCAGTCACCTGCAGCCACTGCTGTCCCTTCCTGAGGCCATTTTATAACAGAGCAACATTCCCAGTGACCCTCAGACACGGCGCTGCGGGGCTGAATCCAGCCCTCAGTCAAGGAAAAGGAAAACTCTTTCCAGCTACATCAGTGGCTCATGCTGGTGTTTGACAAAAATTCCACATGAACTTGCCAGCTTATAGAAAAACACACACCTACATCCTCCTGGAGGAGCTGGAAATCTTACAGGGATGCCTGGACCTGTTCCTCAGAAGCTCCACACACCAGCTCCTGCTGCCAGGCTTTACAGGGCTGCTGTCTGCTGTAACAGCAGAAYGGTCTGAAGCAGTAACTGGGAGAGGCCCTGGCTGTCCCTGGGCTTTCTGAGCAGGTCAGGCACAGGAAAAACGGGATCACAGGGGGGTTTATACAACACTGAGTCACAGCTRCCAACAGGGACATGAGGAATACCAGGGTCTTGCAATGGGACCCCTGAAGAATTCCWTGGAGGAGCTGCACAGGTGACACTGAGGGAACTCAGCCCAGGGCCAGCAGATGCCCATTTCCCTAAGTCCTACAGAATCATGGAATCTCCTGAGTGGGAAKGAACCCACAAGGATCATCCAAGTCCAGCTCCTGGCCCTGCAGAGGACMGCCCCASATTCCCTCCACAATCACATTCTGCTTTCCTTGCTTTCCAAGCTGCTCCTTACATCTGGCACAGGTGGTGGAGCTTCTGGGATCTTTCCTAGACTGGCCCTGGTGTTCTGGACATCAGCTGGAATTTCTCCATGGAAAGGGTGGTCAGGCACTGGCAGGGGTTACCCAGGGAGGTTTGGAGTGTCCATCCCTGGAGGAGGTGTCCAGGGAATTTCTGGTCGTGGCACTCAGTGGGATGGGGCTCAGGGTGCACTTGGTGCTCCTGGAGGGCTTTTCCATCCTCAGTGACTCTGATGCCACCACCATCACTGATGATTCAACCAGGACTCAACATGACCAYAGCGTGGCTGAACACCTCCACAGTGGGTTCCCAAAGGAGCAGAAGGATCAGAAATGTCATGGCTCTCCTCAGACCCTTCCTAGGAAGGACAGAGAGCAGGTAAAATGGCTCCCTTTACAGTTTTAGCYTTTTGGGMAGACAAGCTTCCAGAAAAATCAGGTCAAATCACACCAACTCCAGTCAGCACGAGTGACTGTTATTTTTAAGTCTCTGAAGGTCAGTGCCTTTGTAACAAATCAATCTGAGTTTGGTTTGCTGCAGTCCCGGTGTGAGAGCCCCCAGCAACCTGCACAGGGCCAGGGCTCCTCCCCTCATATCCCAAATTGCATAAACACAAAACCATGTCAAGATGTTGTAACTACCTAATCCTCATCAGAATCACAAGATAGTATTTGCATCTGGCTCGTGGATCAAAGGATTGTTTTTATATAAACAAATTTAAGGCAGCATTCGCTAAACCGATAATCTGGAGCAAATGGGCAGTGCCAACATAACCCCTAATCCCAGCGGGAGCGGGAGCGGGACAGGGCACAGGGACACCAGCACAGCCCCAGCACGGCCCCAGCACAGCCCCTGCAGCCCAGTCCAGAGTGGGGCTGGCACACCTGAGGGCAGCAAGGGCCTGGGCAGCCCAGCTGAGGTGGGGATGGACAGAAGTCCTGGTGCAGGGGGTACCAACCTGTCCCACACCAAGCATCCCACGCTGTCAAACACTGACACTGCAGAGGAAAAYGTGAACAAAACGCTGAGGGACAGAGGCTAAACCAGCTGGGGACTCTCACTGCCACCTGGGACAATGAGAGGTGTCCCTGCTCCTGGCAGGCRTGGCACTCAATGGGATTTAAGGTTCCTTCCCACCCAAACAATTCTGGGATTCTGTGATGTAACAAGAGTGGGGCAGGAATGGGACTGGACAGACTTTGAGAGGGAAAAGGTTTAATGTACCATCTGAGACAAAAATGCAAATATCATCATCTGCTGATTTATCTTGGATCCCTCTGCAACTCTGGGGCGTGGGGAACGTTGTCCATCTCCACTTCCATGTGTACACAATGTCTGAATTCCCTTTCACTAAAGCAAATCCTGCTCCAAACAGGCACTTACTGCTCATGTGGAAAGGGAGGGAAAAGCAAAAGGAACAGTGGTTTAAAAGGAACCGTGGTTTGGCCAGGGCTTTGAGCTGTRGAGCTGCAAGGAGGGCGGGCGGCAGCACCGGCAGAGCCATCTCGTGGTGACACCTCCGGTCCCCGAGCCGGCGCTGACCCCATCACTGATCCCATCACACCAACCCCATCCTCCCGGCCCCGCAGGCTCTGAGTCCTGCTGGGTTTAACCCCAGCAGGAATGAGGCACCTCGGAGCCACCCGCTGCTGCTCTGGCCCCATGGGGAGTGGGGAAAAACCCATCAATGGCTCAAGGACTGCTTAATAAATGAAATAAAATAAAATAAAATAAAATAAAATAACAGAATTATAACAAGGAAAGAAGAGAGAGGATTTGGTTTGCCTGGAGAAAAGGAGGCTCAGGGGGGACCTTGTGGCTCTGCACAACTCCCTGACAGGAGGGGGCAGCCGGGGGGATTGAGCTCTGCTCCCAGGGAACAGGGACAGGAGAGGGAATGGCCTCAGGTTGTGTCAGGGCAGGGGCAGGGTGGATATTGGGAATGTTCCTTCATAGAAAGGGCTGTCCAGCCATGGCACAGCTGCCCAGGGTAGGGGTGGTTTCCCACCCCGGAAGGGATTTAACTGTGCATGTGACACTTGGGGACATGGGGCAGTGCTGGCCTTGGCACTGCTGGGGATGGTTGGACTCAATGAACTCTGAGGGCTTTTCCAACTTCAACAGTTCTGTGATTCCATTTATAAAACCCAAGAGACACCAGTGATGCCCAGCCCCCTGGGTCACCAGGTCCTGACCGATGTCCAGCCCATTCCCAGCAGTGACTGGCAGCTCCCAGCCAACTCCCCCCAGTTTATATTGGGCACGGCGTTCTGTGCTGCGGGATATCCCTSTGGCCAGGTGGGATCAGCTCTCCTGGCCATGCCTACACCTTCCTGACACCTGCTCCCTGTCAGAGCCTCAGAAATCAGAGTCCTTGATCCAGATCAGGTAGGGCCTAGAAGAACCCAACCACGTCGGTGTAACCAACAGAATTCTCACACTGAAATCCAAACACRGCACTGTCCCAACCACGAGCATGAAAATTAACTCTATCCCACCCCATMTCAGGACAATTCCCTAAAAAAAAACTGTATCCAGGAGTCTGTGAACAGGGGCAAGAATGCAAAACACAGGACTGACCACGAGGCCACGCCCATCAGCACAGACTTGCTCTTGGTCACAATTCTTCCCCAAGAACCATCGCTGCAGAGGCAGAGATGGTCCTCACTTCACCTGAAACATTCCCTAGCTCTGCTGCAAACCAYTAAACCCCAGTGGTTTCCTTTCCCTTGGAATGTGCTCCCCAGCCCAAATCCCTTCCCTCCACCCCTGCCCATCACAGGAGCACCTTTATGAAACCGCTGCTGCAGCCTTCAGGACTTTCCCTGGAAGCTCCAGAGTATCCTGAGAGCCTTGGAATTGCTGAGGAATGGCAGATGCAAGCAGGCAGCACCCACCCCAAGCGATCCCTGGGTGTTATGTAAGGCCCACAAGGTCACCAGAGGATTATCCCAGAATTTACCAAATTGCGATGTCCAGCCAGGTGCGAGGAAGAGTAAACCCCTTTCTCCCTGGTATTTTCTAAGTTAGCTGTTATTAAAGCTTTATTCTAGGACAGATTTGTAGGTGACCAAATGACTGCTCATCACATGTCCCTCCTCTTCTCTGCCCCTCCGTACTCGCCCAGCTCCATGGTGGGGCCCAGCACAACGTTAGACTCACCTAATCTGGCTCCTGAGTTTAGGAAAAAAGTGAAAGAAAGCCCTGGAGCAGAGCTGGACCAGCTAAAGCCTGACAGGATGGAGGATTAAACCTCTTCTGACTGGGGAAAGGCAATCTCAGG